AAATCTTCATCTTCAAAAGAACTTATTGAATTATATTACTAAAAATTTAATGATTCACTATTGGCATTACTACTACTAAGAAGAAATACGCTAAAATAAATTCTTAGCTGCGTATCTCAAAATTTTAAAAAGTATTAAATTTAAAGAGAGTATTATATTTAATTTAGTATTAGTATTAGTATTAGTATTAGTATTAGTATTAGTATTAGTATTAGTATTAGTATTAGTATTAGTATTAGTATTAGTATTAGTATTAGTATTAGTATTAGTATTAGTATTAGTATTAGTATTAGTATTAGTATTAGTATTAGTATTAGTATTAGTATTAGTATTAGTATTAGTATTAGTATTAGTATTAGTATTAGTATTAGTATTAGTATTAGTATTAGTATTAGTATTAGTATTAGTATTAGTATTAGTATTAGTATTAGTATTAGTATTAGTATTAGTATTAGTATTAGTATTAGTATTAGTATTAGTATTAGTATTAGTATTAGTATTAGTATTAGTATTAGTATTAGTATTAGTATTAGTATTAGTATTAGTATTAGTATTAGTATTAGTATTAGTATTAGTATTAGTATTAGTATTAGTATTAGTATTAGTATTAGTATTAGTATTAGTATTAGTATTAGTATTAGTATTAGTATTAGTATTAGTATTAGTATTAGTATTAGTATTAGTATTAGTATTAGTATTAGTATTAGTATTAGTATTAGTATTAGTATTAGTATTAGTATTAGTATTAGTATTAGTATTAGTATTAGTATTAGTATTAGTATTAGTATTAGTATTAGTATTAGTATTAGTATTAGTATTAGTATTAGTATTAGTATTAGTATTAGTATTAGTATTAGTATTAGTATTAGTATTAGTATTAGTATTAGTATTAGTATTAGTATTAGTATTAGTATTAGTATTAGTATTAGTATTAGTATTATATTTATTATATTTAAAGAGTATTAAATGCCTATACATTGTCAATTAAGGTATCTCGCAGCAAAGTAGCTTAAAAAATGTCTTTCCTCCGTAAAAAATATTAAAATGACTGACCTTCGGTGTGACCAGGCGTGGGAACCACCTTCAGGCAGTGTCTACCAAAACTGATTTTGTCGTCGGGATTCAGGAAAACGTCTGCCTCTGCGCCGCTCGCTTTAGATATCATTGACCGGCAACCAGGTAACAATGACTTCAGTTTTCCTGTTCCGGTGATATGATCAGCGTGCATGTGCGTGTTCACTGAAAAAAGTTCAGTTCCTGGTCAGTTATCGGTCATCGCATCTACTAAAGTCCATTCACTGGGATTTCCGGGAATCAAAAGATTCGTCCGTAAATGCAAATTTTCGAAAGACCGGTGATCCAAAGTCGTCCGATAGTCCCAAATCTTTTCATTAATTCCCACAAAGAGAGTCCTCGGAAAACGCCACTTTAGTAATTACTTTTTATACTGCGAGCTTCTATACGAGATACAAAAGATTGCAACGGTAGGAGCCGGTCGAGAGCAAGATAAGAAGGATATGAACTTCCCGAGAATCTTCGCTAAACTTTCCTGGGAGAATCACACTTCCATTACCAAGAGGTATTCAAATAAAGGCTGGACAATTTAAAAGCAGCTTTTCGTAAAATTTTCGAATAAAAACAACGTCGTTTCGGTAATCACGCTTTACATCCGAGTAGAACTTCGTGAAAATTTTTCCTTTAACTCTATTGTGCCAGAACATTTGTGTAAATAAATGTTAAGCAATTCTCGTATGCTGGCGATTTAATCGTGATAAAGATTCAGAACAGATAAGATCGAACAGGTAAGTTCGAACAGATAAGTTCGAATAAAGTTTATCTGATAACTGGAATGACTCTCGTTTATTTCACCACAATTTCATCGGTCGTGATACCAGGAAATGCAAGAGACTATACATACATATTTCAACAGGAAGTTAGGTAATGGGTCGAAATTAGCTTGCTCTCCTCAGAATATTTGACAGTTCGGATGGATCATTAGATGAAAATAGGAAACATTTCAACACTATGTAAAAATGGAATATATAAAAAAGGGACTCTCAACAAATATTTCAAGCCGCGCTATTCGTAAAGGAATAAATTATCTCGAGTAACGTTTCCTGCTAGTACAGCAATTAAAGAATTTAAGGGGCTTCCGGCAAAGGAAAAGTGTTAATTAAATACTTCCCGCGGTCTCAACTATTTCCTGAGCTTGTATTCTTTCACTGAAAATTATTCGTTCGTTCGTTTTTAAATCGTTGTGCACAGGCACGACTGCAGGATTACTTTGATCTGTTCTAATAAATTCAACTGAACGTAATTGAATGGTTCCGGAAGACCCTTTCTGTGTCTTGATTCATGCGGAAGACTTCAAGTACCAATTTCAACAATTAGCCATTCGGCCCGCTCAACGAGCCATAAAGTACAAAACTTGTACTTTGCAGAACTATCGAATCATTAATTGCTGCATAACCGTTCGATAGACATTCTGCTCGAGTTGAGAAGCTCGAACCAACGAGGACATTTTTGACCTACTCACATATCGACACAGACGATTACAAAGTCAAGGCTTTTCTTTCAGTGTCATCAGTAATGTAATCTGATTATAGTAATGAACCAATAATTTAATTACTCGACATGAAAAATATTTAAATAAACTGCAGAAACTCGAGATGAGCCTTTAATTATAACTTCAATTAGTAAATTCGAATAGTAAATATGTATGCTGAGGAGTTCCATCGGTTTAATCAAATACGGCGGACAGAATTTTCGAAGCTTTCGCCGTTTCACGATTTTTAATCGTCAAAAAAGTACTTCTGTCAACAGATTGCAACTTACCAGCATATCTCAAAGTTAATCCCAGTTCCTGAATAATATTCTTATCACGGTTTGCCCATTCGATTACCGGGTCGATTAAGACTGCGGTTTTTTCGTTGATATCGGCCAGCAAATAAGTGTATGTGCTGGACACTGGGTCGAAGAACTGACAATCCAATCAAAAATAAATTATATATATATATATTTATTACAATTTGAAATATATTTTACTCCTAAAATATTGTAATCCATAAGTTTTAAACAATTCTCAATTGTTGGCAAAGTTGCGCAATGTTATGAAACTCTGATGCAACTGGGCCTGATCATAATGCAGTGAAACAAATTTCAAATTTCCCGCTTTTCTGTGATCTATACTATTATCGGAAACTAAAATATAATTTTATCAATTAAAAACAAAATATCAAGAACAAAATGATTGAAGAATTAAAACAATTTAGGTTTGCGCTGTAACATCCATATGAAATATGCTACATCGTTAACAATCGTTTGATAAAACAGAAGCAACATGTGAAATTCGACTGAATGTAATATACAATAGGTAGGGACGATAAATATCGATTATTTAAATCAGCTGCTTTAATCGGTTACGCTAGGTGTCACTGCAAGGGCGACAATGCACTATATAATCGATAGAGATGCTGCACTTTATTGCACGTAAATGCACATCTGTTTACTTACTTGACGAAAGAGGAAATCTTTCGTAAATGGAATCGGCTCCGTTAATGCAGTAGCCATACTATAATTCCGTTGAATAAATGTATGCGGTTTTAAAAGCAAAGATGTTATGTGAATCGGACACAATTTTTTAAAGAAACTAGGTTTCATATTTATTCAACATGCATGCTGTTTAAGCAGAGAAATCGTACTGACAGCTGCTGACAGCAGTTTGCTACCTGTACCACTGACGATTACTCAAGTTACTATCGCAAACGTAGTACATTGGATTTGTATATATATATATACGTGTGTATTAGTGTGTATGTAGAACATTTTGATATTGCAAGATGATAGGTTATTCTCTTGGATTTTTCATCGTATACACACATTGCATTGCTCCACTTTCTTTTTCTATTGTAGTATGTAACAATTAAATGTCTCGCTTTTCGTTGCGTTACTAAATATATTAATATATTTATTAAATATGAAAATGTCGACTCGACCATTAAGACGCCCTCTATGTAATGGAATTTCATGACAGCTTCCTCCTCCATGTCAGCCATCTTGCTAAATTTGTATTCCTTACTCCATCTTGACTGTTCTCTTTCCGGTTAGCTTTCGAGCCAAGGTGTGTACTTTTGGCAGTCTTCTTTAAACTTTGCCATATTAGTGTTAAGAACAAGAGCATAACTTGTAATAAAAAACAGTGAACTTGTTTTGCACGGTATGCCATTTAATATGAAATGAAATAGATGCTTTAACTGAATATTCAAATTGTTACTACAAATATACACGTGTGACTTGTCGACACACAACGTTTGTGTTTATTTATCATTTATACTGTAAATATTTATTTCAGATGCCTTCTGTGACACTAAAAGACGTCGACCAGCACAAGTTCGTCAAGGCATTTGCCGCGTTTTTAAAAAAGTAAGTACTGATTTCAATTTTAAATGCATAACCTTAAACTGGATTTGTTAGCGGCATACTGCAGGCATGGGCGAATCACGGGCCGTTGCCAAATCTGAGCCGTGGCTCGTCCCTCACACATTGACGCGAAACGAGAAACGATATAATATTGTTTTTTTCTGTGCTCCACGCGGGGCTGTTCATTTTATGTGTAGCAATATGCATGGAGTAGTAATAATGAAGTTTGTGACCCGCAGTCGAAATGACTCGTCCATGCCTGGCATACTGTATCAAGTAACAGTGATCTTTTCCTGTTTATAACGGAAACAAGAATGCCTTATTAATTCCTTATAAATTGTAGGACCGGTAAAATGCGCGTTCCAGAGTGGGTGGATATTGTAAAATCCGCACGATTCAAGGAGCTTGCACCATACGATCCTGATTGGTACTACATCAGATGTGCTGCATTGGTACGACACATCTACATTCGTAGCCCGATTGGTTCTAGAGCAGTCACCAAAATTTTTGGAGGTCGCAAACGTAATGGCACCCATCCCAGTCACTTCTGTAAATCTGCTGGTGGCGTAGCTCGTAAAGCTCTCCAAAGCTTGGAGCAACTGAAACTTATCGAGAAGGCTCCAATCGGTGGACGCAAGCTCACTAGCCAAGGTCGTAGGGATTTAGATCGCATTGCAGCTCAGGTTAAAGCAAAAAGCAAAAAACAACTCAAAATGCAGGAAACTCTTGTTCTATAATTTCGTTTAATAAAAGAAGAAAATTGATACATGATTGGCTTCATTTATATCCGTTCCTTCGTTTTAGGGTTTTAACCCTTTGCGAGCATGTTACTGAGAATACTTTCCTCAAGGAACTAGATTATGTATTGAAAACTATGTTAGTAAAGTCGATTACTGCGAGATGACCAATTGCTGTGCTTTTGGTTTGTTTTTGGGCATAATTAATATCGGATAAATCATATTAAAATCGTTTATTTTATTTTGTTCACTTTTTAATAAAATTTAATATATCTCATTCGATATATATAATGTTAATAATGCTCGAAAATATAAACTAAATACATAGTAACTGATTATCCCACAGTAATTGGCTCCACTAGACTATCCTGATCCCATGCTTGCAGCTTTTGGAACAAGATGCTGACATTCATTCCCGAAGGGTTGAATTATTAACAGTTACTAAAAAATTTAAGTTGATCCATGTCGAAACCGGTAAATATCTGATATTAATGACTTAGAACTATGTTGCTGAGTTGATTATTCTGAACAATTTTCTCTTATACATAAGCGCTTTTAGTTTTTAAGATTACTTTGACTTCTTTAATGAATATTTCAAGAAAACAGAGCGTCTATCACATCCACAAGGAAAAGTTATTTAGATTTTTCAAAGTAATAGAAATTGGAGTTGCTACCTTTAAACTGCCTAACTTACCTTTTCAAGGGCTCAGTGAAAAAGGCACATGTCTCAATTTCATAATTTCAGAAAGCATATTCAAATAGATTGTGATTTTCATAGAAAATGCTGTACGGGTCGGTACTTACTTTAAATGATATATAAAATAGATAGTAAATTACGATTGCTATTAAACTTTTATTGCAAAATTTGTTACTATTACATTTTTTATTGAACGTTTCTAACGTCACCGAGTTTTTATGCAATGCCATCCAATGACGACTGAATAATTTAACAATAATAGATTATAGAATGAATCAAGGACTATGTAAAAAAAACATAATACTGCAAAAAAAGAACAAAATTGGTACACATGTGTAAACTGTAATGTTCAAACGTTAACAAATAAAGATAATTTCGAAACGAGTGCGGTTAGTCGTCGCAAGATGGCGCAAGGTTCGTTTGCGGTACGGTGGACGACTTTCTCCGTAATTGCACGGTCAATGGTGAAGGTATGGGCGTCAACAGCGCCGCCTCAGTAAAACTTGGACCGTGGACACAAACGTTTCGGTACCGATTAGGCTGATTTTCGACCGAGTGGCAATAGGTGGACAAGAGAGAAGTTTGGTGCCCCGGGACTTAGCCGCGTACGCGCGTAAAAGTGTGTATGCATCGTGAGTCGCGCGACGAACAATACCGTGCCAGATATGTTTCCTCGCGGCCACTGCGGGAAACCCCTCGCCGCGAGAATGTTAAGGGAATAATCGTGTCGCGCAAGTGTCTCTCGCTGGCAGAGAAGACAGACGACGACGACAACCGTGTGCTCGGTTCGCCTCCGTCTCGTTCGCTCTTGTACGCGCGTTGCAACAACCCCCTTTTCCCTCTCCCTCCAGCCTTCGTAGCCCCCTTCTTCCTCACCCGTCCCGCCACTCCTCTCTGGGTCCGTTGGTCGCACCGGGACGACGTTTACCGTGCGTCACGGGAAACGGCATTGGGAGGAGACAGAAGGTGACAGCCCTCCCGCGGAATTTATGGTGCGCACGGGCGAAACGGTGAAGTGAGTGGTGTCACACAGTGAAGTGAGTGCGACAGCACCGACTTTGCCCAGACGACCGGCGAACAATCGAACGAGTCCCTTATCGCTTTCGGCTGCTATAGGCAGAGCCAGGGAGAAGATGCCGGGCCTAATCGCCGTCAGCGAGTTCGTCGAGGAGACGAGGGAGGACTACAATTCGCCCACCACGTCCACCTTCGTCTCGCGAATGCCACAATGCAGACAGACCATCACGTCCCTCGAGGAGGTGAGTCTCTTTTTCGTCCCCCTACTGGCACAACGGGCGCCTTCTTCGTTTCATTCATACACTCGGGGACCACTTTGCAACCCTCGCCGCTCTATAACCTAACAGTTAGGTCTTAACCGAGCTAGCGGTGGTCGAGCGCGTGTTCCACTGCGTGGGCGTTTACAATTACTCCATAGGTATCTGGTATTTACTCAGCGCCAATTGTATCTCCGACTACGACCGATCAGACGATTTTCCCGTGCAATGCACTCGCCACGTTACTTTTACCGTCGATCTGACCTGCATCTTTGTCAGTTTCCATGTATCGACGATGTAAATAGTCGATGGAAATCGCCTGGCGATTTCCAGGCGAACGCGTTCGGGTATGCTTCGGCCGTTGCATTTCGAGCGTGCCTGGCCGACGGGAAAACAGGGTGATCGCGAGGAATTTTTAATTGGTCTGTAGTCGCGTGCCCCGAGATTGGTAAGCGTGAATATTGGGGTGGCTCCGATTTACTCTTGATGCAGATTTTCGACATTCTCCTTGCGCCACTCGCCAGAATAGTTTACAAGTAACAAGAAAATAATCCGTGGAAAATTTGAACCGGATGAAATAATTAAATGCTTGTGAAATCGATTTTCTCGAATATCTTCCAAATTATTGATTATGCCGAGAACTATGTCACACAAAACTTGTAGATCTAGACAGGCCACGTCTTATGTGTCGTATTACATTTTTTTCGTACATCAAATAGTTTTCGAAGAAAATGAGAAGAGTGAAAAAAACATTGAAAATTTTCTTTTATCAATTTTGACAATTGTGTTTTTTATTATCTTTTTTTATATGAACGGAGACTATAACGTTTTTCAGGGATGTGTTTTCTCGTAATCCGATCGAATTCTTTTGCGCAATTATTTTTTGGTTAGCTGGAACTATTTCGGTAAGTGTCGCAAAAGATTGTCATCAAGAGTAAACAAAAGCCACCCTAGTGAATAATTTAATCCTCGAGGCACCACTTTTATCGGAGAGCTATTGTCAATCGAAGATCCTCGAAGTTCTTCACCGAGCGTACACAATTGTATTTGCGCCTTGATAATCGTTGCAGGTATTGATACTTAACCTATGTGTCACGATCGGTCATTCGAAGTAGGTGTCTAGAATGGAGGAGGAAATAAATATGAAGTCATGAGTAATTAATACGTTTATTAGATGATTGACCACTCGATTCGGCGATCGATCGAAAATAGCTCATTTAACGTATTATACAGTTGTCTTGCTATGAAGCATTATGTTCTCGTATGCATGTCGGATTTATACGTCGCGAAAGGGGGCTGGGGGGGGGGGGCTACATTCAGATTAATTAGCGGGATAATGAAGGTACAATGTGACCGAGAGTTACAGGAGCGAAGTGACTCGAGTTAAAAAACGTGTGTCTCGCACAATTATTCTTTCACGCAGATGCAGATAATGGATCTTTTGTAATAGCAAACCGTAATACGCCGACGTAATTATCGGCGAAGAATGTTATTGCGAGAGCCTTTCGTAATGTAACTGCCATCGTAACTCTTGCGGACTACACTGTCTAGCGGAAATATATGGGTCTTGCTTCTGGACCCGTTTCCAACTTATCCAACGTATAGCCAGGATTTTCACAGATCGCTTGAAAAACGGAAGCGCTCGCGGAATTTGTACACATAACCTATTTTATGGAGCGCCATCGAAAACGAACCTTGTTTCTTTCTCAAATATATAAAAATTTATATATATAGATTCGTATGCTATTTATAATTTTACAATTCATTCGAGAGTGTTTCCTCGTTTATAAAATATTTTCACAGGGAATAATGGCTGCTATAAATTCGTACTTCACTCGACGAGAATCCTATTGTCCTTTTTTTTCGCATGTCATCGAAAGAAATCGCAGTAGTTTTTGTCACGCTTGAAATTAGGTCGTCAAATATTCATACGACTTCGTCTACATCCTTTTTTGGCATGCATGCATATACGTAGAGATACATCGATACGCATAGATACATGTGTATTGCGGCGCTCGATACATTTCATCATTATTAAATTACAACCAATCAGCGACGATAAGGAGAACAATTATCATTGCGCCACCGCTGTTTTGCATATTATCGAATCGTGGGCGTATTTTGTAACACGCGCACAGATAGGGAACTTTACGCGGAAAGTGTGCCGTGGCGGCGCGGCGCTCCTAAGTGGAATTTATGCATAGAATTATTAAAGTTTCTTTCCACGAAGAGGAATCCGGGCGAAAATCTAACATCGACGTTAAAGCAGATAGATGAGAGCCAATCCAGAACGTCGGCTAATTGTAACCCTTGCAAAATGGGTTACGCCGAAATAATTACCGAATAATTAAACTTCATGTGTTAAACATGATAACTTAATGGATCAAGTATGTAAGAGAGTGGTCTATATAAAACACTGCGGCATCACGTTCTCGAGAAATTAGTCCATCTAACGATGTAATGGATTTTTTTCGTTCCCTTGCCCGCTAGGGATTTTCACGTGATTTATGGCGTGTCGCTGCACAGCTTCCGAAAGAACTAGGTTGGGTTTGCCACCCCCCATTTGTTTTGCACAAAATGGCGTGCGAATTTTTACCGTTTCAAAAACCCACATCTAAAACAAACAATCAAATCTAGCTAAAAATTTCATTCTGACGTCCTCCCACTGGAAAATATTCTTTCCTTCACTATTAAAACTATAATTAAATTATAATTATAACTATAATTATATTATTATTATATTATTATAACTATATATTATATTATATATATTACATTATTATAACTATTATTATATTATTAATTAACTATAATTATATTATTAAAATAATAATTGTTTTCTAATGGAGAATATTATTCATTACATTCTCTCTTCACTATAAATATAATCTCTATATAAGTCTCTCTACATTTGAAAGCAATTGATAGTTTCTAAAACAACTTTTGACGGTTTAGGAAATTGGTAGCACATTTGTGTAAATAATCTTCTAGTATTCTAAACTACAAATTCAGAAGATTTACTGTGGTTTGAAGCCAAGGCGGAAAGGATAAAAATTTCAAACCGCATGACGCAATTCCATTTTAGATTCGGTGTCCTCCGACTTCGGCTTTATTTTCGCGACTCCAGAAGATTGCTTTCCCGATTGCTGGCACTCGACATCATTACGGTTCAAGGGAAAATCTAGAAAACACGCGGCGTGTTACTTTTGCCTCTCGGAGCCGATACCCGGCGCGCACCTGTAACGGCCGACGAGTCACTTTTACGGTGCAGTTCGACTTGGTGCTTTCTTGTGAATTATATGCCCGGCCACTTCCGTCTGCTTTGATGCGCCAGCATCTTCCGGGTCAGCTCGTTTTCTCCTGCCTCGCCTTAATGACCCGCACGATTTTCAACGAGGAAACGCCGCGCGTGGAATATTTCTCTTAGCGTTTCCCGCGATACACTGCGGATAAACGACCACTTTCCATGATGCGTTCTCTTCCTCTCGTTTTTTCCCTCTCTTCAATCGTTGAATATTCATGGTTTTTTAATAAGTACACTGCACGAGCCAACGTTTCTAAAAACGCGCGGCGCTCCGGTATAGTCGGACTAATTTTAAAATCCGTCGACGGTAGCTGGTTATGCGTATGTGACGTCATCATGGCCGGTTACCGGCCGGTGTCACAGAAACGTGACTCTTCTTGCGCTCATTATCTCGCTGCGGTTTCACTTGTTTATGTACACATTCGTTGATTATCCTGTGGTACTCACTTGCATGTTTATGTTTATATTCTTTCTCGCCAATGTCTCCAAAAATATTTCTCGCATTCTTGGAATTTTTATCTGACGGTAAACATGCATGTCAAACTGACCGATTACTCACTCCTTATTTTAAAATTATCGGTATAAAGTCTCTTTCGTAGGAAGTGACTTAAAGACTTTTAATTCAAGCATACGTTATAACTAGCTTGCGGATTTTATGCATTTATCGGAAGATGCATGTTTAAGATAGTAAAAAAACTAAAGGAATTTAAAGATGTCAATTGTATTATTTTTGGTCCGTCGAAATGATTAAAGAACGAAATAATGTTCTATTTGTTCTATCTTTAATTCAATCGGAAGCCTAAACCATATTTTCACTGAAAGTCAAAGTATTAAAAAGGAAATTAACACTAAAATTACCGAGCACTAAAATCGATAAATGTGTGTTGCTATAAAAATGACAAGATTTAATTTATTTAGACTTTCTTTATTCTCGTTCGAACTGAACTACGAACTTTTATGCAAAATAAAAATCGTCTAATCTCTCTAAAACATAGATCTTATAATTGATGCCGACAATTTTTATTTTGCATAAAAGTTCGTAGTTTAGTTCGAACGAGAATAAAGAAAGTCTAAATAAATTAAATCTTGTCATTTTTATGGCAACACACATTTATCGATTTTAGTGCTCGGTAATTTTAGTGTTAATTTCCTTTTTAATACTTCGACATTCAGTGAAAATATGGTTTAGGCTTCCGATTGAATTAAAGATGAAAGATTAAGTTAGCGGATAAGATTAAGTTAGTGGATATTCTCCGAAATGTCCGACTTTTATCCAAAGTCACCGGCTCGTAATTCGGAGATAACGCTGAGAGAAACCCGTCTTCGTTGTAGATCAATACGAACGCTCGGCTGATAATGCGAATCAATATTGCACGGGCTGAAATGAAGTAGGCTCGGCAGGGAATTCGCAGAGTGTCATGTTCGAATGGCAGTATCAGGTGTGCGCCAAAAGCGCGCGTTGCGTGTCGAGTTGCAAAACTCGTACACTTTGTCATTTCGATGAATGTGTCGTTAAGTTTCTTTTAAAAAAAGAAAAACGCTTTACTTCGATTTTAGCACCGGATGTCCGTTCATTGTGTTCAAATGATCCCCGACAGTATCTCTTCTTGGACTCGAAGCTCTATGTCTACTATTTTCACTCCACCCACACCATCGGCAATAATCGAAAATGTCACATAGCAGTTCTTCCCCGACGAACTAGAACCGTTCTACTATGTGTTATGCACTGCTTCAACTCCTACGTCCAATCCAGAAAATCCCCGGTTTCGTGCGGGATGAATCATTGTGGGTAACGCTATCCGAGCGGGGTAATTAAGAAAATAAATTAGCAGAGTGGAGGATTCGCGTGTCCCCTAAATAGTTGAACCAGAAGTGCCCTGTAAAGAATGATAAATAATGTGGAAAAGCTTGTGGCGGAAGGAGAAGCTGAGAAACCCTTTGGATTAGATCTTTGTGATTATTGTCTATTTGAAAATGCTGAAATTGGCATATTGATTTTTCAAATTTTCTTTTTAATTGCATACTTTTTTTGTTTCATCGAATAAAATATATTTGGAGTCGGATAGAAGCGCAAAACCGTTCTCTTGGAGTGCTTACAGACAATAGACCCAATTATCTAAATCGTAAATAGGAAAGATAGCTATTGATAAAACAGCTCTTGCCGCCTCTCGGTCGCCATTCTAGTTAAGTGCCGAACTGAGTGGCGACTGCAGATCGTCTCTCAAATTCTAAGCATGAACAGTCGTTGTTTAGTTTAATCAGTGTCTCATTATAATAAATTATTGACTAATGCAACTGGAAAAATAACGTAAATTAGAAAAACAATTTTCTACAACCTGGAGATCTATTTCATCTTGCATTCCTTATTAAAATGCTATTAAAAAAAGATAAAATTGTAATTCATAAGTTCATTTCTCACCTCTAGTTTAAGATGCTCATTCCAACTCTTCTATGTATAACCAGATAAATGAAATAAAACAAAGAAATTACAAAGACTATTATATGACACAAATGACCATTGACGCAAAAGTTAGTCTCAAGTCTTAGTTGACATAGGACTCGGAAAGGGTCAAAATCGCCTGAGTACCCGTAAAAGTCGGCTCGTTAGGTCCGCAGTAAGGTGGCCGGTCACACATAGGGTATTCTCCTAACCCAGTGTCGTCTTGGTTTACTCTTGACCCTGAGTGCTTGTAAGTCACCCACTTTCCCGCTTTAGCAGCGCGACTTACGACACCGTTGCGACGAAAATTTACGTTCCGCGGCTATTTTCGGTGTGGCGCGACCGCAGTCTATTCTCGTTAGCGTCCGCCGCCGGAAGATGACCGGGACCGTTCCGTCTCCTTTCCTCACGGTGTCGGCGTTCGAGAGAAAACAACCGGGTCCTCGTGCCTCTTCACCGATTCCGTAGCGCGGGATTTCACGTCGAAGAACACCACCCTCGCGCAACACACACACACATTTATCGCACACCATCGCACGCCGTACCCGGCCTCTTCTCGATCGCTTATCCGCGGAAACTTGAACGTTCCGCTGTTTACCGGACAGGTAAATGGACGCTCGATACGAAATCGATGGCGATTCCTTGCCGAGAGACTTCGTTTACCTGGAAATTCCAACTTCGCAGATTTTTCGCTGATTTCATCAGGCATCATTCTTCTAGTTCTTCAGTGCTTAAGATAAAACCTTGTGGGGATTGCGATGATTGATCCTTGTTTTCCTGTTCATAGAGTTTGGATGATTTTTCAGTTCTTGTTTCTTCAGGCTAGAGATATTCTTTTTGAAATTTATTGTTTGTTCTTTTTATTTTATTTTTTTTTGTAGTTTGAGTGTTTGGTTCTTCAGGATAGAAATATCCTTTTATATAAGATTATTGCGTGTCTCTTTATTTTTCTTCGTTTTCGAGGATTATTGCTCCATGTCCTTTTATTTTTCTGTATACTTTGCAAGAGTTTTTTGTCCTTCAGGGTAGACGCATTCCTTTTTTAACATACAGACCTACTTTTTATTTCTATCTCTCGAAAATATTTCTACTTTTAATTCTCTACTGTATCCTCTGTTATGATCACACTGTTCTATTTTTTTTCTTTTTGTACACGTAGAAAATTATTCCTGTGTCTGATTTTTCAGAGCAAGAACCCTTCTTTTAATCACCGATGTACGTTTTCGTATTTTTCTATTTTTTCCAGCTTTTGTTGCTTTAGAAACATTCGTTATTAATAATTACCACGTTTTTCCCAGTTTTTCAATGCGCACTGAAAATATTTCTGGTCCCTGATTCTTCGTGACATAAACCCTCCCCTTTTCAGTATTATCTCGAGAACTGTAGTGAAGGAATTACAGCACTAAAGAAACTGCAAAACATATGATTGAGCATAAAGAATGAGAAGCGATCACTAGGCTACGGATCTTATGCATTTACGATAAAAATAATTACATCGAATACAAAATTTGCAAAAACATTTAAACAATTTGAAAATATTATTGTATTCATGTCGAATTATTAAAATTACCAAGGATAGAAATAAATGTCCATCTAGTTCCTGCATCTTGCAATCAATGAAGTTATACATATTTATTTTGTATAAAGATCCCACAGTCTATAGTGATCACATTTGAATTAGGACAGATGATTAAACAGACAAAAATAGGAAGTGACCACACTTTTCGTTCAGATCGAAGGGATGTCTTCCCCCCTGAAGATTTATAAAATAACAAAAGTAAAGTGAAGAACGCGCAAGAATCTGCAAAGGTGCGAAATTAACCCCTTAACTTGTACGCTCGAGTTAATTCGAGCGCGCTAAACAGGCCAAACTGTGCACACTCGAGATAATTCGTGTGGCGTTATATTTTATGCTGCTATAAAATTTTTCACACTCGAATATAATCGAGAATTGAAAATAACAATGTGAAAGCAAAGACAAAAAAATCGTTTTATTGATATTTATCATTTACATGGGAGATTGTAAGCTATAACACTTATTTATTCAAGAATAAAATATAGCCTTTTTCCATGGAACACAAGCGCAGTATATCATCAAAATTGACTTTTTTTGGCTGGTTTTTTTTCAAAAAAACTGTGCGTTAAGGGGTTAATCAGGAATTTTCAGGTAATCGAGGTTCTCCGGCCGGTGTCCCTGAGTGAAACAATTCGATGGCCAGTCGAACGAAGTTGCGTATCGTGACAGCTTGCTTCTGTCGGTTCCTTTAATTGAACAGCTTGTTTCTAAGATGCCTGTTAAGCATTAGTCGCACGTTTCGCGCGCGGCATTTTCTGACCGCTTCCGGGCGACGAGTGTGTTAATTCAATGAAGGCTGTCGAACCATGTCGGAACCTTGAAAATTGTCGTTCCACGAGCGCCAAGATATATCGGCTTGAGTCATTATTCAAGCAATATCGAACCGCAACGAAACGGTATTATCTCTTTTCAAAACCGAACCGTTTGGTAGCTACGAGATGTGCCACAGCATATGCCGAAAATAAAATTGTGCATCGAAATGATTGCATGAACCTGACGCAATAACAGTTTTACTTCCGAAGAACACGGCGTAGGTTAATCGAGCTACCAGGAACAGAAGTACATATATCGACGTTCAATAACTAGACTGTGGATTTTTATGCGAAACGAAAATTGCGTGAATCAATCGAAGCGACGAGGAGTTAAATAAGAATGTATTTATTCTCTCGATAATTTCGATAAATCGTGGAAAGTGAATATCTTTGTTTAATGTCTTCATTGCTTTGGTGTTTCACCTACTCGTTTGTATCGTAGATGCTTAAAATCCGTGGTCTAGCAGTAACTTAAAATAATATAACACGAATAGGAAGCACGTTGGAAACACGAGAAATGATAGTCGAACGTGTTTAATCCTATTAATCCGACGGACGAGTGTTTACCGAGCCTACTTACCAATCATTTGGAGACCTCTTTCGGTAAACATTTGAGGAACACGTTCATTGAGCGTTAATCAATCTTTCGACGTGCATTTAACACATCTATTCGGCCCGCTCTTAATCGATCAGTTGTGCGAGGAGTTAACGAGTTCCCACTGTATGTATTTTCGCTTTCAATAATTGCCCCTATGCCGCTACGAGTGCTCGTAGAAATTTCATTGAAAGCAATTATTTTCTCTGTCCGCGTCTGGATTACTTGTTTCATTTGTTCTCAACGAAAACTACAATCAGAGAAGTTCAGAAGATTGTGAAAACGCTAAATATCTAGAAAAAAAGATAAAAGATCGAATCTCGCTTTTTATTCCTCTAACATTAAATCGAACTAAGATCAGAAGCCTAAACCGCACGATAAGGATCGGTATTAATCAATTATCTCGAACGTTTTCGAAACAAGCTGTTCAAACCAAAAGCAAGAATCCAGTCCTATCGATATCCACGATCTTTCGCTTCACAGTGATTGCACTGCGGATGATTATGCGAAATTAAAATTCTCCTCCTAATTGCAGCAAACAGAACCCCGATAGAAATTTCTTCAATCATTCTCCCACGTTTAAAATCCCTGTACAGTGAGCCATGAAAGTATCCGGAAGGCGATTAATAGAATTTTTAATTATTATGCTGTACCAAGAGGAACCTAAACAATCTTTTTCTACGTGATAATCCCATACAAAATTATTAGATTATGTTCACGCGTTCTATTAAGATCGATAGAAAGATTAACGTCTCCAGGAATACCTCAAAAGCATTTTTTTAAGTTATTTTTTGTTGTCACTCTAATCAATTGCAATGTTTGCAAAAATTTGTTCATCTGTAACATCGCAAAAACAGTTAAATCGTTTGGCCTAATCTGAACGAAGTTATTCCGTTTTAACCATCGTTTTAACAAACTAAAAATTGAACGGTGCAACTATAAATGATCCAAAAACATAAGCAGTTATATTTTTGTCAGGAAGGAACGTCGTTTTAGCGTCGAAGCTCGAATACCGTCGTGGCTCACAGTAGAATTTCCGAACTCTTTCGATCGTTGTGTCACAAACTCCACTAATCCTCGCCGCAACTGCATAAAATCCAATAACTAGCATTATGCAACAGCCTGCAGTCATCGCGGACCGATGTGAGCGCGGAGTTTGTTTAAAAACATCCACTTCGATCAGCCGTTCGAGGCGAGCTCTCGCGAAAGGCTTGAAATCAAAGCCGATAGTTATCTCGCCGGCGAGAGGAACGTTACCGAGAAAGAAAGCAAAGATTGTGGCCGGCCGCGCGCTTGGGCCGATTCGAGTGAAATAATTAAATAAGCTCTGGGCCAACGGCAGAAATCGGAATTTCCGCGAGATTTCCACTCTAGACACTTCAGAGGGCGGTTTATCGATTGGAACGCACAGCGGAAGCATGTTCCGTGTGCTTACCCTCAAAGACCGTGGAGGAAGACCGGTAAGCCAATCCCGTCGACGTCGACTCGGAACAGCATGCTATTGGATTTTACGTAACCGGTCGTTTACATCTTGCCGATACATTAACACGCCCCAGATAATTTTTTTATAATTGTTCGACCAGCGTGGAACCATCCAGCGCGGGTACCGGACTCCTCTCGCTGAATCATTTTCCTGTGTTCTGCGCACCCAGTGTGACCGAGCGCATCGTGCACGAGGGCGGAGGCCGATTCTTTGCGCAAAAATAAATCGACTCGACGCAGAAGCGCTTCGATCGAAACGCTCTTTACGAAAATTCCTTTTCACGTGTTAACCCTCCTATAATGTTTTGTAAAACTTGCACCGAACGGGTTACTAAAAAAAACACGCGCGTATCTTTCGAAACTGCACTATAATACAATGGTTTTGAAGCTTATTATATGTATGCATGAAAGGATATAATAATTAATACGAAAATACAAAAGAAAGTAATGTATTTCCAAAATTCAATAAACCTGATTTCAATAACGTGGTAATTTAACAAGTTACTCGCATAAACCTGTTAGAAGTTACATGTGAAAATAATTAATATGGAAATACAAAAGAAAGTAAACATCTGTTTGCAGAGTTCAATTTAATTTCGAGGAGATGATAATTAAAAAAGTTATACGTCTAAGCCTGCGAAAAGCTGTATGCGAATATTGTAATAATGAAAAAAGAATGTAAAAATTGATTTGCAGAATTCTATGAATTTGATTTCAATAAAATGGCGATTAAAACAGTTGTTCTTTTGTGATATACATTTTTATTCGATAGAGAAAAATCGCATTTTATCGTGTGGTTGATATTTGTGGAAAGAATCACTTTCGATTGTATTATATCGGCGATTGTGTTCTGTGTAAGTACCTTGGGTTTATGTGTTGGTTATAGCAATTGCGATGGACTATAGCTTTGTTACGTACGACGTTAGTGCGAGATTCTAGAGGGCAATTCTGCATGGTTTAACGACCCTAGTCTTTCTACGATGAAACGATTTTAGTGATTGCATCGGGAAAATGGAATTGCGAGGCGATTCTTTAATATCTGTACCGTTAAATTGATTTCATCTGTAAGATCTAACTTTCTAAATTTTCTAAAGATTGAAAATATAAGTAATGAAATTTTTATAATCATTCTATAGATTTGTTGATATTTTCTGTCGTTATAAAAAACCGTTCTTCAGTTCTGGCGAATGTTAGATGTCCATAAAATTTGGCTTTAATTTACTAGGATAGAATGGAGTCTACAGTTATTTTATCGTTGTGCAAACATTATAATTTCCCATGGACGTAATTATGCTACAAAAGAAATATTTAATAGTCGTGTTCGACGATTTAAAATAGAATCGTAACCTTCGCAGAGATTTATCTGGAACAATATCTCTTTATTAAAGTTAAACAAGCTTCATCTGCACACAATGCTTCCAATTATCTAGCTAGTAATTAAAATCTTTGGAACGCGATGTTGTTTAGATTTGCAGATGTTTATGCAACAAATATAAACTTGCGAATATAAAACGATAAAAATTTTAACACTATCTTTACCAAATAGGTCGAAAGATAAAATTTACAATTCTAATTCAACGCTATTTTTACTCTCCACTTTAAACATTTTCATAGCTTCGGATAAAGTGTGTTCAAAAATGAAGACTGAAAAATTGAGAAAGTTCTCGCGCTTATGAGAAAAGTTAGGCAGTCCGGAGGTTCCAAAAATTCCGATACCGTGCACATGAATGAGGTATACATAGCTACATATTGGTGCACTTTGGAAACGTTTCGAATTTTTCTGTGCCGAACAATGTCAACCTTTTGCACTTGGATGCTCCCTTTCAGGGAACTTAGCAATTTTTCAATTATTAACAATTTTAAAGGGAACTTAAGCACTTTCAACATTATTACTTTGTATGATCTGTATCGATACAATCTTATACAAAATTCTGTTCAAGTAGAATTTAATAAAATTTAAATATTTTATCTAAATTCATTCTATTCAATTTAAATATTCTGTTTAAATTAATTCATTACAATTTATATATTCTATTTCAATTCATTCATTACAATTTATATATTCTATTTCAATTAATTCATTACAATTTATATATCCTATTTCAATTCATTCTATTCAATTTAAATATTCTGTTTAAATTAATCCATTACAATTTATATATTCTATTTCAATCAATTCTATTCAATTTAAATTTTATATGTTATCTGAAGCGTTAATTACTATTTCACGAATAAGTACGTTCCAGTTGTTGGGGTAGCTGATCTGAGAAAACTCCCTAGAATTTGCAATTATACAATCTTATGCGCCAAATTCTACTTAAAAAGATCACACATTTATTTCCAACGTTATAAAATTTTATATGCTGGTGAACATAATACTAACGTAAACTAGACAATCTAACATTATAAAAAATTTTTAAATCATTCGGTCGAATATTTTAAAAATATACCCTGTTTTGAAAGGTGTCCGATTATTAACGTTACTGAAAATGAAGAGAGTAATTGTTTCCAACGTTATACAATCGTGTATTTCATTCGAGGTGTTGGTCTTATTTCGCGCGATAAATATATTCCCCTTGTTTGGTAGCCGATTCGAGATAAATTTTCCTGGCGCAAATGGTTAAAATTGTCCTGCGGGCTCCGAGGCGGCTAGAAGCGGCGCAGCTGCAGCCGATCCCGAGCGTTTGCAAATCGGTCCAGGTAAACGACTCGGATACGAACGACCTACCAAGGCCGTGCGCGCGGCCAGGAATTTCTTTCGTTCTTACTTGTTGGTCGCTTCACCTGGTCGTCCGAGTCGGAGAAAGAGGATCACGGGGCGAGGAGAAGACCAAGCTGGTTCACCGTTCCTCGGACCGGCTCGATTCTCGCCGGGCCCTTGCACGAATTCACGGTGACTCATCCGTTATGCTATTTTTCTACCTCTAAGGCCTCGTCGCGTATCGTAGGCCAACACGAAAATGAAATATTCGGTCGAGCCGTCGATAGAAAAACACTGAAGCAACCAAAATTTTGTCATCATTTTAATGCATCCACTGTTCGATGGACTCGTGAACGCATCTTGGAAAAATAGTTTGAACGCCAGCCACTTTCTATTTAACTATCACGATAGAATTGCATTTTGGCTGAATACTCTTGGCAACCGTCTACACTTTCGTACACGATGGAACTAGGGTTATATTTGAACATTTAAATTTGTAATACTTCTGCAAAAGTATTCGAAGGAACGAAAGTCAGGCGAAATTTGTAACTGGATTTCGAGTATTTACGAGCAGACTGCGGATTTTTATGCAATTGTGACATGCACAGATTTTTGAAATGGAAGAAAATATATAAATGAACAAGATCTAATAGCATCGTAATTTACCTTTTATACAATGAGCGATCTTTTAGTTGACAAATACAACGTGTCATTCACTATCATTTTTGTAAAGTGACGCATGAAAATGAGAATTAGTACAAAGATCTATTTGTGAGTGCATAATTGTTAAGTTACATGAAACTTGTATAGTAAATTCTCCCTAATTGAAGTTCTGATTGTACACAAAAATGGACAATTTGGGAACAGGAGATACGATTATTCGAGCCTTGAGGCTCGTTTCTATAGTTACCTCTTCCCAAATCGTCCATTTTTGTGCGCAAACTGAGCGTCAATTAGGGAGAATAATTCTTGTTATTAGAGAAAATATGAGAAAAATTAATAGAAGCAGCACGAGATAATGGAAATATTAGAAGAATTTTCTTGATACATCCACATTACCAACATGTATTGTTTCATGACAATGACACGATTGGATATATTTAAGTTTCGTACGGTTTTTACTATAGTTAGAGTGTAGATTTTATGATCGATAAAAATGTGTTTCTTCTTTGAATGATTTTAATAAGTAGAGAGCAAGTATGTCAATTTTTTCATAGTTCACCTATCGATTTTTGTCATAAATGCANCCTTGCACGAATTCACGGTGACTCATCCGTTATGCTATTTTTCTACCTCTAAGGCCTCGTCGCGTATCGTAGGCCAACACGAAAATGAAATATTCGGTCGAGCCGTCGATAGAAAAACACTGAAGCAACCAAAATTTTGTCATCATTTTAATGCATCCACTGTTCGATGGACTCGTGAACGCATCTTGGAAAAATAGTTTGAACGCCAGCCACTTTCTATTTAACTATCACGATAGAATTGCATTTTGGCTGAATACTCTTGGCAACCGTCTACACTTTCGTACACGATGGAACTAGGGTTATATTTGAACATTTAAATTTGTAATACTTCTGCAAAAGTATTCGAAGGAACGAAAGTCAGGCGAAATTTGTAACTGGATTTCGAGTATTTACGAGCAGACTGCGGATTTTTATGCAATTGTGACATGCACAGATTTTTGAAATGGAAGAAAATATATAAATGAACAAGATCTAATAGCATCGTAATTTACCTTTTATACAATGAGCGATCTTTTAGTTGACAAATACAACGTGTCATTCACTATCATTTTTGTAAAGTGACGCATGAAAATGAGAATTAGTACAAAGATCTATTTGTGAGTGCATAATTGTTAAGTTACATGAAACTTGTATAGTAAATTCTCCCTAATTGAAGTTCTGATTGTACACAAAAATGGACAATTTGGGAACAGGAGATACGATTATTCGAGCCTTGAGGCTCGTTTCTATAGTTACCTCTTCCCAAATCGTCCATTTTTGTGCGCAAACTGAGCGTCAATTAGGGAGAATAATTCTTGTTATTAGAGAAAATATGAGAAAAATTAATAGAAGCAGCACGAGATAATGGAAATATTAGAAGAATTTTCTTGATACATCCACATTACCAACATGTATTGTTTCATGACAATGACACGATTGGATATATTTAAGTTTCGTACGGTTTTTACTATAGTTAGAGTGTAGATTTTATGATCGATAAAAATGTGTTTCTTCTTTGAATGATTTTAATAAGTAGAGAGCAAGTATGTCAATTTTTTCATAGTTCACCTATCGATTTTTGTCATAAATGCACGAAATCCGCACTCTAATTATGATGTAATGTCAAGGATTCTAAAATATAAAAATCGAGAAACTAATGATTTCAACTAGTCCACTGGTTCTAGGATTAGGAGTGCCAACACATTTTCAATCAATTAAAATTATTGAACGAAGAAATAACCTTTTACCGAGAGTTTCTGCTTGCAATTTATACAGAAACGTTTTATTTTGCGCGAAGATCCGCAGTCTAATGCTCGCAACAATTTACACTAATTCGTTTGAGAGCGATGGCTGTGCTGGGATTTGTTTGTGCCTTCGATGGTCTATCTTCGAGCCTTTTTTTTCGCGCGACGCTCGGCGCAGTTAAATCGGCAATTAGTTCCAATTGTGCGACGGGGGTGCGTTGTAAAGACTCGTAGTGGCAAATTGAAGTAAACGCGTACACGAACTGGATGGATGGATGGCTTGTGCTGTAGGTGGCAAAAGAACTGCGATGTACAGCGAAACTGCACCATGGAGTCACTGTTGGCGAATAAATCAATAACTTGGACGAGCACCCAATACACGATGCTGAGGGTGTAGAGATGAATCCCTCGTGCGTTCAATCGCACCTAACGTTTTTTCTGCTCTATCTATTTTCTTTTTAATCTTGAATCCTACGTCGCACGGTCATTTAATTCTTCAAATCAATTAAACAGTCACAACTGAGTCCCGAGTAGTTTCTACGTCCCCGAAC